GAAAATTATATATGTATACACTAGAACTATCGACATGAATCTCAAAAAAAAAACAATGAACGACCAGGAGTTAAAAGCTTCCCTCTGAGGTAAGCGATCGATCGATAATTTAACGCAAAGCATGAGAAACCGCGTTTCTAAAACCGGGATAGGTCAAAGATCTGGAGATGTTTTCCCGCTCGATAGCGATAAGATTTGCCATAGTGAGGTGCAAATCATCCCGACAGCGAGTCTCATCAGATATCTCGCATATGTAACGAATAAATCTGCACAAGACCTTGCGAAAGAGAATATCCAGCCGAGGCGATGAATCGACTAGGCAGACAAAGACACAAGCTATGTAAGACTTGAGCCAAATGTCAGACGAGCCACGACTCACCTGACGAAACAAATCGACCCGTCAACCGACCGATTGACTAGGGCGCAGGCGAGAACCTTCGACCACGGCTAATCGACAAACCCACTTTTCACCATGACAATCGAGAATACTCTATCGGATGCCTCAGTCTACCAACACAAAACAATGTCGCCACTCAGTCGGTCGTCTCAACCTGCCAGAGTCAAGCAAGTCAACCGGTCAATTATCGTCATTTTATACTTCACACTATAACATAGATATGATAAAAAGTCCATATAATTAATCAAAGCATTAATTATATTAAGAACGGTTTCCATAATCGTTCTCTCATTTCTATAATTGTACAAAACACATTTCTATAAATAAGAGACAAAAGAACGAGCAAAGAGGAGGCATGCCATTTGGGCTCTCCCCTGGCTCCCTGGACAGTAATGTCTTGACTCATTCTACTTTTTTTTCTCTCCTTCACTCGACTCTAACTCTGAACATTTATTCACAAAGAAACAATCTAGGATTCAACACTGCAATTTTATTTATGACATGCAAGCTTAAATATCCACGGAACAGGGCGAGAATCAAAGTCATATTTTTACGCAAAAATTTAACATATATATAGAAAATATGAATTTCATAGATGTTATCTTCATTCTCATGTGAAACTCATAAAAAGCAAAACAAAATCACTGGGTTTGAACCAATTAGAATGGTTTAATTCGTACATTGAAGATTACTTGAACGATTTGAGTACAAATAATGTGCAATGGAATTCTGTACATAAGATAGACTATATCCTGAAACTCAAGTCTGAACCCCTGTACATTGATTTATGGTGATGCTGACTATACCATATTATTGGCTAGACGTTATAATGATTGACAGTACATATTAGTCTAAGTAGGCAGGCTACCGACTTTGCTAATGACAATATTTGGTTTGCCGAGCTATCATGTATCTCCATGATCGAGCTGTAGATTAGTGAACATGCATTCATAATTTTGGTCTTGCTTATTCTAAGTAAAGCTTAACTTTAAGATGATTAACTTATCTTTTCTAACAAGTGTTCTTTGTCTCTCTTACCAGCTTCAGAGAAGTCCAAGTCTGAAAAGAGTTTATAAGATAGCATGTTGCTCAAAGAAGTAGTTGCAGAAACAATTTGGACTGGAACTTGTTAGAGATCCAGCTATAATATTGATGGAGATTCATTTATGTATGTGACTCGACTATGATTCGATCCAAATTTGGTTGAAAAAAAATTAGATTTGGGTTGCCAGAATGTTTTTTGAGTTCGATTTGGGTCAAACATGATTTTTTTTTTCTTTTTTTTCTTGGGTTGGGCTTGAGTTGATACAAATAACCTGAAATTGATCGAATTATTATTCATGTTTGGGTTAGACGCGTTCGAGTTGGATTAATTAGAATAATTAGTTCATGTTTGAATTAATTAGTTCTTGTTGATTCAAAGATTGTGTGATTCTTATGATTATAAGGGTTAAGAATCAGGCAATATGCTTTTGACCCATTAATAAAAGGATTAAGGTTTTCGATTGATGTTTGATTTTCGTTTTATGTTTTCTCTTTTATGCTCTTGATATAGAGTGAAAATACATGCAAAGGGTCGCCTTTTGGTTAATGGTGGATTATGGTTTTCCATTTGCTCAATCACCTTACCTTGGGTTAATTTTGGATTGTGGTACTGATGTGGTGGATGTGGAGTTGGATGTGTTTTTCTTGAAGGATATACAGTTGGTGGCGTAGGGTATTTGGTGTGTGGTTGTAGAGGTGGAGGTGGTGGTATAGGGAGGTTAGTGTGTGGATTTGGATGTGTGGGTGAGGTGGTGGTGGTTAGTGTGATGCTTTTTGTTTGAAGTTCATCTGAGCTCGGCATTACATGGGTTAAAGACAACTAAGAACCACTTTTTATAAGTTATGTTGTTTTATTATAGTGACAGATTCGTTGGTTTATATGTTAAGTTCTTTGAGACTTCACAACTGCACAAAACATTAATTAATTCCTTATGTTATTAATTTTTAGTTGTGTTATATCTAATGGTATGTTTTTAAGCCTTCAGGAGAGATGAGCTTAAGGATTTCTAATACCTCTAGATGATTACACTGTTACTGTGGACAACAATGTTCCCTACTTACTTCTCGGCAACCACATAACTATGAGAGACAGTTTTACAAATGCCCAAGGAGAATCACAGAAAATTGTGACTATTTTAGGTTGGTAGATGGGCCGGAAAATTCCACCACCGAGAGTGATTGTGTATGGAGAGTTTCCTTAGAGAATGACTTATCTCGTGAAATACACTGCCTGCATTTTAAAAATAATGTTGTCATATTATTAATTATTATTTTAAGTCATTTTCTTAATTTTGGTAGTCATGCTACTCATTGTTTAGTGACGTGTTTATTTTTATTTTGTAATGTGTTGCACTGGATATTTACTTTCAAGTTTGGAATATACTGGCATGAACTGTTCTGTTGTAAACACCATTGCAATACATAGGCAGAAAGGTCATTTGTCTATAAACAATTGTAGCACTGTTATTTTCAAATGATTAAAAATAAACAAAATACCAGCTTATCCACAGCAGCTTCCGCACAACAGCTTATTGCCACAACTTTTGCGTAGCAGCTTATTAAGAAGTCGCAACTGCCCCAAACAGACCCTTGATCTCACTCACTTATCTTCATACAAGTTTAGAAGTCAAAGGTTAGAAAGTTGGACTAAAATTTAAATTTATTAGGTCACTAATTTATTAAATCTATTGTAAACTATTGGTGATTGTGTACTATTTGGCACGATTTAATGAATCCCTACAAAATTCTTCAAAAACTTCTTCAATTATGAATATATTGATTGCAATCAAATTCATCAGCAAATTTTTATCAAGTATGGATCGTGAAGCATATCTTATAATGAATCTCTTAGATTGAAATTCAAGAACATTTAAGCCATGATTTCAGCAAGTTTTTAGTCACATGGACTATATCGACAAGAAGAACCCACTTATATCAAAATTGGTTGACTCTGAATTTATTCAAGCCTAGATTAAGTTCTTGAAGCACAATTGAAGGTTTGGGACCATATTTTAGATGTCAAATGAACTCTAAATTTTACATATTTATAATTCAATCGAGCATTTTGACAAGATGAATCAAACCAACACAATATTGCTAAATTTTGAATTCATTAAGAAATTTAAATCATTAAACAATCATATATGATTAATGGGGATCAATAGGGATGATATGATTGGGTGGTTAGAGAAATTATGAGCCAAAATACTAAAATATAGCTACGTAAAAGGTTGTAAATAGGTCTCATCTCTTCACTTGAGGAAAGTGAAGATATAAAGAGGAATTATAGAGTATATTTGGAGAGAATGCCATGTGATTACCACTGGCTTTTGTAACTGTTGACCACCATCGACCATTGCCCTTTGACCACAGTCGACCATCGTGAGTCGTCACCACCCGCTGTCGTGAACCACTGGTAGCAGGTGACCTCTGCTTGCAACTGTTTTATTCCAAATATAGTTGTGGCATCTAACACATATATTGAAGACCGAATGATAACCACTGGCTTCCTTAACTATCGACAATCTCCAACCACCACCATCGACATCATCAACAATTGTGGCCTTCACTACTTGCCCTCAACGATAACCCCTATTTGCAACAGTTGTATTTCAAATGCGACTATTGTGTTTAATACTTATATTGAAGACTCGACGATAACTAATGACTTCCGTAGTAGATGATCACTGTTGAACATCATTCTTTTGCTACCGTCAACCACCGCCAATTGTCATAACCGACCATCAACACCGCCGAACACCCTTGTTTGCCACCATTGTATTTTAAATATGGCTATTTTTGTGTCTAACACGTGTATTGAAAACTCTATAATAAATATCATACTCTGTAACCGCCTACCTCCATTGACTATCACTTATCGGCCACCAGATACCACCGCTACCCATCACCGCATATCACTACTGACCAACGACCTCCGACATTAATCTAGTGATTGATAGCTGGTGCTCGACAGCTGATACTTAGTAATTAGTGCAACTTGTGTTAAATAGTTGGTACTTGACAGTAGGGCTTCTAGTGAGTGGTCATTTTGTAAGGGGCCCACCAGGACATGTTATACTCCCTCAAGTGTTGGACAATCGTTTCTTTATATGTTGAACTGTCAAAGAAAGCTCCTCATCCGTGAACAACTCATATTCGACTCATTAACTAGCTCGTTTTCAATTCATTCGTTAGGCAAGTGAGTCGAAACACTAACAATTTTTTTGAACTCAATTTATGGACAAATTGAACACGAACAAATGTTCGTTCATTTGTGTTCGGTTCAAAATAATTAAATGATTTAAATAATAATATTTATTTATATTATTTTTATATTATATAAATCAAGTACGAGCTCAAATCAAACACGAGCTTAAACAATGTCTCATATTTAAAATTATTCGGCTACATTAGAGCAAAAAAAAAGAGTTAATTTGAATAAACAAATTTAAATCAAACCCAATCCGGCTATTCAAGAGAAAATTTTATCACAACCCCATATCAAACAAAAAAAAATATAAAAAAAAATTAAACAAGCTGAACACAAAAAAAACTTCGGACTCATTTAAGCTCATCTCTTACACCCTAATCTTCTACATTATCTTACATATTTTAAGAAAAAATTGAATTACAATAAATTCAAATATTAAAGAACATATACATTCTTAAAGACAAAAATGATTATAAATCATACAAAGGGTAAAATATTACGGCGTCACGTGTCTGAATGACGGTTCAGATGCAACCACGCATTGAATTGCACGATGGCTCATTCAGATCTACGTCCAGACATATATGATACATAGAAAGAGTAAATAAAATATTATGTTGGACGTCCGCACGGACGGCCAACTACCGGCGGCCACGTCGCTCGCCAATGACGTGTATAGCGATTTAGCCGTTAGTGATTGGCCGTCTGGACGAAATATTTCTTCACAAAGAACATCAATCCTAACCAATTAAGATGTGAACTCCTAGGAACCCATCATCCCCTCCCCCCTTCTTCCACCTCCATCATCCTCAACTCGCAACGGCTTGTACACATAAAACCTCGCACAGAGAACATAATACCCCAAATTCAGCACCTGCAAACCCGTTATAATCCAATACAAATACTCCAATCTCCCCTTGTTCAAATCATCCACCAACCAATCCGTATACCGATGCACCGCCCCCACCAACACCGTGCTCCCATAGCTCCCCGCCGATATCGACAGCCAAAACAAAGCCGCCGCCGTGCTCCTCATGCTCTCCGGCGACTGATCGTAAAAGAACTCCAAATGTCCGATCGATGTGAACGCTTCCGACGCCCCGAATAACCCGTACTGCGGCACCAGCCAGAACACGCTTATAGGATCCGCCGATTTCCGGCGCCGATGAAGCTCGACGAAGCCGGCGATGAGGGTGGCCGATGCGGAGATGGCGAATCCGATGCCCATGCGGAGGAGGAATGAGATCCCGCGGGGGAGGCCGGTGAATCGGCGGGCTAAGGGGACGAGGAGGCGGTCGTAGAGGGAGATGGTGAGGAGCATGGAGAGCATGGTGAAGAGGGTCATGGAGCCGGGAGGGATTTGGAAGGAGGAGGAAGGGGAGATTCGGCGGTTCATCGTGCGGGCTTGTTGGAGGGAGAAGGTGTTCTGTTGGGCGGCGGCGGTGATGGCGAGGATTCCGGCGGCCCAAATTGGGGCCATGCGGATTAGGGATTTGAGTTCTTCGACTCGGTGGACTGTGCTGAGATGCCAGAGATTGGGATGGCTGTAGGTGTTGGGGGTTAGCTTGTCTTGTTCGGTGAGGATGGCAGCTTTGTCCAGGAATCTGCAGGTAATTGCTTCGATCATTAGCTAGCTGTTAGTGGGGGGGAAAAGTGCTCAGAAAAATTTTATAATTTTGTGGTATTTATGTAAATTTTTCAATAAATTACGATTTATTTTATTTTGAAGAATTTACATAAACATATATAAAATATGTATATTTAAGTGTCTTAATGAAATTAGGTTTGAAGACAATTTTATTTTCAAAAAGTGGTGTAGAACTTCAAACTAGTTTGTGTAATTGATTTGGTTCCATTTGTAAAAGCATTTCTAGTGTCATTGGGCATATATCATTGCAATATTTGTTTTTATGATACATTTACTGAAAATATAATTTGGACAATCTCTTCTTATATTTATGTTAAGGGTAAACTTTTAAACTTATTTTAAGATGAGTGCAATAAAAATTTCCTAGTCATGGAGATTTGATTCACCTCAAACTATTTTATAGAGTTTTAAAGCTAATTAAGATTTCAATTAGAATAATGAGAGCAGTGTTGTTTATCAAAAAAATTTTATCATCAAGCATGAATCTCGAAGCATTTTGAGTTAGTAACATTCTAAATTCAAATTCAAAATCATTTGAGCACTGATTTTAATAAATTTATAGTCAAACTAAGTATATTGACAAGATGAATCCAATGACACTGAAAGTGATTGGTTCCGAGTTCGAAATAGCCCAGTTCAAACACTTAGTGATTTTGGCACATATGTTTGAAGACTAAATGATTTGTATGGTTATGGTCAAATCGAGTGTCTCGACGAGAGGAATCCAACGAGCCCAAAATCATTTAATTATGATATCATTAAAGTACTGAAACGTTAAAAATATAAAATGTAATCAAGATATTTAAACCATCTAATGGAGTGTTTTGAGACATTGGTTATATTTACCAAAATGCACATCTCAAAAACTACTAACAAGCCTCATTCTTTAGTTGAAAGAGGTTGAAGAGAGAAGAGAGTGGGATGAGTATTAAAATTTAACACTTGAAGTCACGATGGTTGTCGACAACCACTGAAGATCATTGTCGACCACCACCATTAATTTGATACAACCAATTACAACCATTATAACAACTAACTATAGCTTGTTAAGCCAACTGCTGCTACTGTAACCTCCAACAACATCTTATCATCCCATTTTCCATTATACATGAGAAGAGTTAGCATATTTACATTCAATTTTCTAGTGCTTTTTTACTTTAACGGGTTCGGGCACTACGGTGTTTTTCAATTTTAGGGTTTTTCCATGTAAAAATTCATGGTGTCTCCTTTCACAATTTTTTTATTTTGTGTGCTAGATCTTTGTGTGACGCTGAGACGATAAATTATTACACTACCACAATGAATTTTCTAGTACGCAATAGTTTGGCGTCATCTACAGAAAGCAAAATCTTATCCTTATAAAAGTGTGAGCACTCTTTCAATGGCTAAGAAGCACTGTACTTGAAACAGTGAAACCTCTTGCTTTCATACCAACCATTTCAGGAAACAATCTCGTAGTCAAAATGACAAGCCTCTACATATTTTCCTCGATGGGCATTGTCTTGTTGGTGAAGATGTCTCTTCTTTTCCCCTAGAAGACTGAATGCAAAGAATGAAATAATCTCAAAATGAGATTCTTCAACTTCTATGTGAAGCTCAACAACCATTATTAGCACAAATGGGTGAGGTTCTTTTATCCCAAGTTCAGTCACCAATTAGGAACATCTAAACAGAGAACGCACCTTCAACAATCCCCTCTCGTACATGAGTTCTTCCTCAATAAAGAAACTTACTTTATGAATATTTCTAGTTTCACATATTTATCTCATACAACCAGACAAAATTGTCATCCACCAACACACTTAGAGAACTTAGCGCGACCCTATCATGTAATTCATGATGAACTAAAAATTATTGTTCAAGAAGAATTCTCTTTAAGAGTAGAAATCATTTTCTTACTCATCTTAGTTCCCAAGTGTCATCGCCTTTGGCTAATATAGTCATCCAACACCTATTCTAGTCCAGTTCAACCTTCCAAATATAGACACTTATGACGAGGTATTAAACTCATATGAAAACATTGACCATTATAGAAACATCATCCATATATAACGGGCATTAATTCACCCTTCTATCATGTTTTTCTTATCAACCTCAAAGGTTAGGCGAGTGCTTAGTTCTATTCACTCCCGAGAGACTATTCATAGCTTTGATCAACTTATCAAACTCTTTGTGCAATAATTTATAGCAAAATAGAGGATTAAAAAACTCCTTTAATTTTTCTAAAATTTGTCAAAATGAGATTCATTTAAGGAGAGTCATTTATGGCTCATCAAATTCTAAGAATGGATCCAGAGTTATTAAGGAGCGTCTTTCTAGGCAGATGTCTTAGGCCCTTCTACTCATCATTAATGTATTAACTAGTTCACTCATATACTGACCTCATTCATTGCACTTAGTCTCAAATCACTGCTAATGAAGTTATAAATACCATTCGAAGACAATTTGAACAATCTTTTGGCAAACACAAACACACTCTTGTAGAAATTATATAAATCTCTTAAAGAAGGAAACAAGAAAAGTCAATATATGAAAAAAAAAATTTCAATCAAAATTAATATGAGACATCAAATAATATTCCACCGAACATATTCAAAAATGATATTTTAACAGAGATTCAAAATTTTAAATACCTTAAGTAGTCAAGGCAACTAAAAAATCAAAACGGTTGGACAAATCTCAATATTATCATTCTCACCGTTCAAAATGGTATTCAATTGAAAGATACATCCACTTAATATAGGAAATCGATCGTTGATATGCTAATATCACCTGGTTCATTACTTATAAGAATAATGCAGAGAAGATTAGAAGAGTCATGAAAAAGAATTTATTAGAATAACTTAACAAAGAGTACAACTATAACATATTCTTATCTCTTTAGAAAATTATTTGCTCTCATATGTTGAAGGATCTTATCATGGAAATTTCTAACTTTATTTCTTATAAGAATTTTTCTTTTGTTTTTGTTATTAGATGCAAGTATATATCATTCAAGTAACTTTTTTTATTATCAATGAACATCTTTTATAAATAATATTATTTATTATAATACTCATTGAGGAAATGTGACAGACACAGTCGCCATGTATACCTCTGAAAGACATACTCATCAGATAATCTCGATAGGAAACAAGTAGTGGACACATTCCTTACTAGAAAGACTCATTGAGGGTAGGTAGACGACACAATCCACGTATATAATATGTTTATAAGATAGTCTTGATAGAAAGCTAGTAATAGACACAATCATTTGTAGAAAATCCCATTGAGGGCAAGTGGCGGACACAATATCCACTTATATCTTTGGAATACATGCACATGAGGTAATCTTGATGGGAAGCTAATAGTGAATACAATTCTCACTAGAAAGATCTCTTAAGGATAAATGGCAGACAAGATTTCCACTCATACCCCTGCAAGACACGTCTCTGAGGTAGCCTCGATGGGAAGCTAGTAGTGCACATGGTTCTCACCAAAAAAACTTTATGAGAGTAAGTGGTTGATAGGATATACGCACAAAAATCTCATAATGTTAGAAGTCTTAGAAGTTACATGTAAGTTAAAAAATTTAGAAGGCTATAAGTCTAAGAAGATAAATGTATACTAAAAAAATCTCAAAAAACTATAAGCCACGTAAGGTACATGTATTCTATAAAAATCTCGGAAGGTTATAAGTCTTAGATGAAACAAATACATTCAAAAATCTCAAAAAACTATAAAAATAAAAAAGTATTAGTATATTTTAAAATCTTAAAAGGCAGCAACCTAAAAAGATACATAATATTTATTCATATAAATAACATGTGTTAACTTCATTCGAATGTATTTACTTATTCAAGAGCCTAAATAATCATCTAAAAATAATTTTTAAAATCTTCTATGACCTTCAAAGTTCTCTTTAACTTTCATCGGATCATTTTTCTCTCAATGAAGGTTATAACAAAAAAGAAAAATATGTCTCAACTATAGTCCATTTTAATGGCATCAAATCCAACATCTATAACTTTAAACAAAAAGCTTCTACTTTCTCAAAGCTATTGATATCACAGATATGAGTAGTATGAAGTTGAAGATCAAATAGGTACAAAGGAGACAATATGATTAACTCAATTTTCAAAAAAATAACAAAATTTTGTCATTATGGGTCTTGATTACCTTATTTATGAAGAATGGTAGCCTAAAAATAATCAAACAATTGTTTGAGTTTGAGTAGACAATAGTTGTCTGAATTTGGATAGATCATAATTGCTCTAATTTATGTAGGCAACAACTGTCTCAATTTACATAGGCAATAAATTTAGATGTGTAACAATCGTCTCATTATGGGTAAGCAACAATAGCCTCAAGAAATTAGGCAACCGCTACAATAAGCAAGGCAACTAGAGCCTTTACAGGAGATATGTGGCTTCTGTCATTCTCGAGAGGAATATTTATAGTTGAGATTTAGGAAAAAGGGAGAAAAATTTTCAAAGTTTGAAGGTCAGCTCCGCTAACAAAGCTACGAGCTTGCAAGTGCGCACTACTGTGCAGGAACGATTTGTGAATCGTTCCGCCCGTGCACAAATGTCGGCACCCACACCTGCGTGCACCGACGAGCACGTCAGTGCACATGCGCAATTGCGCGGCCACCGATGCATTCGTGCACTCCCCACGCAACTCACTATGCCTCAGCTAGAGCTCAGACTATCCTGCGAGCCCATCTACTTTCTCAAGCACACTTTTGTGCTCAGTTTTTCACACACACTTATATGTGCACCCGAGCATACATGCACATGCGCTTAGACGCCAACTGCTGCCAACAGTGACAACAACAATTTGACTAAGCATTTTTCTAAAAGTGCTTATTTTGCTTTCTTTTTTTTTTATTTTTGCATTCCTACTCAATTTTTGCATTTTCAGAAAATGAAAAATCTATCAGTAAATTTAGATAATTTGAAATGCCATAGCTTTTGTTACAGTCAACCTACAGATTTTTATAATGTCTAAAACTATAATGGAGACTTACCGATAATTAGTATTTTTGAACGGCATAAGCTTTGACATTCAAAAATAGGGGCAATTGTTGTGTCATCAATAAATTTTAATCATTAAGCTTGAAAATTGAAGCATTTAGAGCAAAAAAAAAACATTCCAATTCAAATTCAAGATCAAATTCAAGATCATGTGGGCCCCAATTTAATCAAATTTATAGTCAAATTGAGCATCTTTCAAGCCAAAGCAAATGACATTGAAAGTGGTCCAATTCAACTTCAAAACAGCCTAGGTTGAACATTTAAATGTTTTGATGCATCAATTGATAGGTCAAACAATATTAAAATTTGGCATTCTTATAGTCAAAACGAGCGTCTTGACAATAAAAATCCAACGAGCCCAGGAACATACAATTTTATTGTCGTTAAGCACTTGAATATTAAAAAAATTACCTATAATCAAGGGAATTAAAGAGGCGGTTCAGTGGAATGTTTTGGGAGACTAGAAAATTTTATCAAAATGCCCCTCTCAATAATTATAATTAGCTCACATCCTTCGCTTGAAGGGGGCAGGAAGAGAGAAGAAAGTCAGATAAGTACTACAACTTAACTCTTGGAGTAACTGCAGCTGTCTCCAACCACCAAAGTTCATCGCCAGCCACCAAAAGTCGTCGTCGAACACCACAAATAATTCATTGCAACCAATCACAACATATTTGTCATTAAGTTTAGTGCACCCTTTCCCAACAATGATTAGGATATTTTTTTGAATTTTGAGTGAATTTAACCTCAAACACACATACATTATATTCACTTTGAACCCAAGATCTTTTTGTTGACAACAAAACTCTCAATCACTATGCCAAGGGAGATTACATATGAGTTAATTTCAATCTCACGGACGACTCTTCAGACCCAGTTTAAAGAGTTTGTAGAGTTTGCAGACTAATTTGACACTTTTATAAATATTGAGATTAAAATAAAAACATATGGATAATCACGAGACTATTTCGACACTTTACTTGATAAACCAATTATTGCTCAGTGATTGTGAGCCCTAGCATAAGATAGAGATAAAAACTTACACACATTAATTATAAATTATTCAGTAATTATTATTAAATTAGCTTAAAGTTTTAAAAACCACAAATAAAAAAAATTATTAGACTACCCAAATTCAAGCTGGAAGATAAGTGTGCTTGTCACCATGGATGAGATTCCATAGGTTCAGTCCTGGGCACGTCAGCCTCCATAGACGGTCAAATTGTGCAGTAGGAAGCGTGACAACGTGTTACTATACTCACCTTATTTTATCCATTGAGAATCTTTTTAATCAGTGGAGCAATAATGGGATGTAAAATGAATTTTTTCCCCAGAGAAAAAATATATTTTTCATCTCATTATCCTACATATATATTGCAAGATTAATGTCCTTCATATATAAACTAATCTCATCTCAGTAGTATAACCTTCTCCCGACATCTTCTTAGGAAAGTGAAGTCGAGGTCTTGACATATTGTCGGCTAATGTCAGAAAGTGTCGCTATGATGACTATTCTTTTAGATGATGGGATTGAAATCCCGGTGTTGGGCTGCGTCCTTAAATGAGAGACAACGGGTGTCCAAGGTGGCCCTAATGACCTCGAATTTCAGTCTTTATTGGAATAGATTTGAGGCTTTTCTCAAGGAAGACAAAGCAAGAGTTGAATCCATTACTTCGACGGATGGGACTAGTTTAGTAGCTTCAGCAAGTTGAACAAATCCAATCACTTTGACAGGTGAGCTCGATTCGATCACTTAGCCGAGTGAGCTCAATTAAACCACTTCCACAGATGGTTTCAATCCAACAAGATATAATTTAATTATGAAATTCCCATACATAAATAAATTTAAACATGTTTATAAATACTAAAATGATAGATGTACATGCTGAATTTAATATATGCTTTTATGGTGCTTAGTTCATTTTTTTATTAAATTATTTTTGTTAGTGAAGATAAGATAATTATTTATGCTTGTTAGAGGCTTGATTTTATTCATATACTTTATTCAATTAAAATTTTACTTTTAAGTTCAATAAGTTATTGCCCATATTGTTGTTTGTTAATAAGCCCAATAAGTCTTATGTGATAAGACAGAGCGATTTCATACCAAGCTTATACACTTATAATTTTATGCTAATCTAAGTTGACCAATAATATTTGATGAGCTCGAGTTGAAATCTAGCAAACAAGTCCAAACCCAAGTAAACATTTGCTTAGTTATGCTCGACCAATTGTTTCGTCTCATAGAGCTGGTCAGTTTGACTGTAAGTTTGTTGAAATTGAAACTTTATGTGACATTTTATCGAAGTTTGAATATTAATTGATAGAAAAAATTACATCAAAATTCGTGTCAATGATTATCTTAAAACGTATGTTTCACCTCTAAGAGGATAGTATTGATGATATTTTTTTTATGTGATGTAAAAGATTTGAGTGGCATGCATGTAAATATGAATGTTTAGGTGTTAGATATGTGGTATATATGTAAAATAAAAAATGTGCATACATACCACAATTAACAATTCTTATGTAAGAGTAGAAAAACTCGCCTCAAGCTACTGGTGTGGCTCAGCTTCCCCGCCATTGAAATCCCCTTATCAATCTCATCGTTCTCATAAAGCAATCCCGGCTCCCTCCCCACCTCCAACCTCCTCTTCCTCACCGCCGCCGCCACCACCTGTGCCAACCTCGTGAACGCACTC